AACAGTACAGCTGGCTTCCAAAAAAAGTGTCCATTTTTCCCTGCAGCATACACTTAATTCCATGATTTCCTTGTTGTATGTCCCCACCAATCTTTCTTTTTACCCAGTAGTTTGTATGAGAAAAAATAATATTGTTTTTTGAAAAATGTTTTTTTTATCTATAGGATTGGCCGTTCGTTTTTTTTTTCTCCAATTTTCTTTGAAAATTCCCCAATCCGTCATTCTTAGGAAAGAAAAAAAAAATAACGAAATTCCAACAAAATCCTTTTCCCCAAATAATCAGCGAAAAAATCATCACCAAAGAAGCATCTGCTTGGAAATCCTTTGGGAAACACTGCCTCGCTCGAAGGGAAGAGATTTAATGGCCGGAGCCGCAAATTCAAATGGAACCCCCCTTGTAAGTAAGGGCGCGTAACACCGTGCGTCGAGTGTTGCATTTATCTAAGTGCGGACTTTCAACACATTGCCACTACTGAATCTCTATGGAAACTTTCGACCATTGGGCGCCCGTTTTCAGGCAGTGGTTTTGCGGGCCCACCTGTTTGGGCCTTGAACAAAAGGTTCTATCACTTTCCCCTCCCAAAATCAATGGGCTTGTTGAAAAGAAAGTTAAAGAAAGAATGGGCCAAGTTCACAGAAACAGCAGGGTATTGGGTACTAGAATTAATAAATTGCCTTTAGGGGTTTTTTTGTTGAGCCGTGATTGTGGTTTTCAGCATCATATTAGTAAACCATCCCTCTAAACTAACAAAGTGACCCAATTATTACATCTGGCCCATTTTTTTTTTAAAAATCTGAGGCTTAGGTTTGAGATTGTAACCTTTTTTTAATTGACACCGTTTCGGTTTTTTTAAAAAACATGCCAAACAAGAAAAGAAAAAAAGAAGTTAAGTAAAAACAACGAAAACATGCCCCTAAAAATATGTTCGGCCAGCAAAAATAAGGCACACAATGGCCAAAAAAAACCAGAAAAGGCTTTGTGGCTTAAAAAACGTTGTTATGCCCCAGCCCTGGAAGGGTAGCCTGGCCCCAGTTTTTTATGTTTTACGAGACGACACGTCTTCAAATGTCAGTTAATGCCGTTGCCCCGTGCACATTTTGTAATAGCAGACAATCCTTTGACCCTGGCCGAAAAGCCCGATCTCCTAATTTCCAACCACTTAACAACAATCTAGAATGACAATAATGCCCCATTCATTATATTACGACTTTTACAAGCCAGTGGGAAAGATTAAAGTTTCCAAAGTTTTCCATATTTTGAAGGAAAAAAACCTCCTTATTAGCAGTTTTGGGAGATTTATTTCCTTTTTAAATGCTCAGGACCGACAAGATTCATCATTTTGGGAGATCGGTGGGGGAGTGAGAAAGGTTTCCTCCAATTGATTGGGTTGGGATAAAAAATTAAAGGGCACCAGAAATAGCCCATCTGCCAGGCTTACAGAAAATATTTTATAAATATGAGTAAAAAAATGTAAATAAACAACTAATAATTTTTGGTAAATT